AGAACCCCAGTGCATGAATGCACCCTGATTTGTTTATCCATTCATATGTTAACCAACATTTGAATTTCTAGTTTAAACCTATTATTAAGAAACCTGCTGTGAACATGTGTGCACAAGATAATATACGAACATCTATTTTTATTTAGGATTGCTGGATTTTATGGTTGTTCTCAAAAGTTTAAATTAATTAGATCTTGCCAAAGAGTATTCTAAAAGTTTTGCTGCTACTTTATATTTCCAGTATTTATGAATGTTTGTAATTTTTCCACAGTATCTCCTCTACTTAGTACCATCAACTTTAATTACATTTCTGGTTACAACCATTCTAGAGGATATGTAGTATCTAATAGTTTTGGCTTGATATTTTATTTTTTACTCATGATGTTGAGTACCTATTTATATTCATGCAAGGTCTTCCTTAGTTAAGCGTGTATTCAGATTATGCCCATTTGGTTATTCTCTACCTTATTACCAAATTATAATTTTTAAAATTTTATAGATCACGTGTTTTACTTTATTTATATATGTGTAATTTCTTTTTGAAATTATAATATTTTCTATCTATTTCCAATAAATTCATTCAGCCTGTGTGTGGGGGGAAATGCACCTGGGGGTCCGTTGAGTGTTGGCTGTTCCATGCATGGCTCAGCGGGATGGACAGGCATCAGCTGCAGGTCTGGCTGGACTTGGGTTCTTGCTGCAGTTTGCACTGTGACCGGCTCCCCCTGGATTCTTTCTAGGGCCCAGGCTGAAGGGGCAGCAGTCATTCAAAATAGTAGCTCTTCTTGGGCTGGGGATATTGCTCAATGATAGAGCATTTGCCTAGCGTGTGTGAAGCCCTCAATTCAACCCCCTATATACAAATAAGGGTAGCAAATAAGGGCTCTTCTCGTATTAACAGAGGCGCAGGAAGTGAGTAGAAATTTGAGAGGAGACAGAGAACTGGCACGTTGTCATTTCAGCTTTGTCCCATTGGCCAAAGCAAGTCATGGATAAGTCATAGCCAAAGGGCTGGGAATGACTGCCTCCAGAGGAAGGGACTTGCAAAATCACATGACAGAGATGGGAAATGCGGGGGAGGTGCAGAATTGAGTTAATCATTTTGTGAAGAGGAAGGCAAAAATCAATACAAGAGAATGAAGTGAGTGATGATTCGTGGTGTATAGGGGAGAGTGAAAATTCTTGGTGTAGAGCAGAGGATTCCCCATCACCACCAGGGATTGAACCCTGGGGCACTTAATCACCAAGCCACATCCCTAGCCCTTTTTTCTTTTGAGACAGGGTCCTGCTAAGTTGTTTAGGGCCTTGCTAAGTTGCTGAGGCTGGTTTTGAACTTGTGATCCTTCTACTTCAGTCTCCTGAGTCGCTGGGATTGCAGGTGTACACCACTGCACCCGGTGAGGGGAGAATTTTTGAGAACAGGGGGTCTTTTCCCAGTGTCCTTCCAATTACACTACACAGGGAACAGTTACTCCTGTTTTCAACACCTGTGCTTGGACCCCTCTAGAGGCCCCTTAATCTTGGGGGCCCCATATCCTCCAGGTTTTTCAGCTCCCTAACACTCCTTCATGATTCCAGGCACCCCTAAATGGATGAAGTTTTGCAGTGTTGGAGGCGTGTGGAAGTAGACTGAGAGACAAAGCTACCTCTCCATTTTCTTTTTTTAAAAGAGACAGAAACAGAGAATTTTTAATATTTATTTTTTAGTTATCGGTGGACACAACATCTTTGTTTGTATGTGGTGCTGAGGATAGAACCCGGGCCAGACGCATGCCAGGCGAGCGCGCTACCACTTGAGCCACACCCCCAGCCCAACCTCTCCATTTTCTCCTGGAGCCAACCAGCTTCTGTCTGAGAAAATGAGTGACATGTGAATGCCATGAGTATTTCAATGGAGAATGAGTCCAAGGGTGGGGTGTGCAAGAGGGAACTAGTGAAAGGCTCTGGATGCTTAGAATCTGAGCTCTCAGGAGGTAGAGCTGTTTAACACTTTGAATCAACCAGTTGGCTCGCCTCCAGGCTTGACTCTTGGATTTCTCCTTGGAGAGAGCAAGAGAAGCAGAGTTAGAAAGGGTTATAGACCTCCAATCGTATTGTGAGTTTAGAAAATATAACACTGGTAAAGCTGTTAAGGGAAAAAGTTACTTAATCGATACCATTGGTCTTGATTAGTGCTGCCACAGGATGTTTCTGCTTCTGAATTCAGAACTTTGGAGTTAGTTGTGGTCATGTGACTTGCGTTGGCCAATGAAATGTAAACGCAAGAAGTACATATCACATTTGGGTAGAGACTTACAAAGACAGTGTGATAATACACCCTGGCTCTTTCCCGATGCTGTGATTATCAGTGTGTATTGAGAAGGAGTCTTCATCAACCTGGGTCTAAAATGACTACAATGGATAAAGCTCTCCTGATGACATGTATTGGACACGTAGCATGAAACAGAAATCAAATTTGTTGTCTACATAGCTGTGTATGTGCGGGGAGGTGGCACTGGGGATGGAAATAGGGCCTTGTGCATGCTAGGCAAGCACTCTACTGCAACTACACCCCCAGCCCAGTAATCACTGAGACTTTTTTGGGGGATTGGACCCAGGGGCACTTAACCACTGAGTGACATTGCCACCCCTTTTTAAAATTTTTAAAAATTTTTTGAGACAGAGTCTTACAAAGTTGCTTAGAGCCTCACTAAGTTGCTGAAACTGTCTTTGAACTTGTGATCCTCCTGCCTCAGCCTCCTGAGCTGCTGGGATTACAGGTGTTCACTACCACACCTGGCAATCACCAAGAATTTTGAAGTTGTTTGTTGTATCAGTATAAACCTGCCTGGTCTGACTGATACCAGCATACAACTCAAGCAACAAAGAAGTGTATCAAAATAAAGAATTTAGGAAGGACAAAGCTATGATCTTTAAAATAATGATACTAACAAGAATTGATGGTAAGCTCTTAAATATACAATTAAAACTAAATAGTTGATTGAACTTGGCCTTATCTCTCACCATGAGCCTGGGAAGAATTTAAGTGCTATGAACTTTGACAAATTGAAAGTAATGATAAAACCTATACAAAATGTGAAGAAAGTGGAGAAGAGATGTAAGTCCTAAGTTCTTTTTAGTTTTATAGCAGTAGTTCATACTATCTATCATTAAAAAACTGAGTTCAGAATAAACCTACTTATACTAACTAACTTCTTGCTGTTTTCCCCCATATTCTTCTTAAAACTTAGAGGAAATAGATTTGGAAATTTATCATTATATCTAACAATGAAGAAAAAATTCATCAAAGTTCAACCATTCTTTCAATTCCCTTTTGACTAAATCCCAACTTTCGTCTTAGGTTGGATTCTTCCAGAAACAGAATCTGACACGACAATGTCAATGTTCCATGAGGCCACAGGGAAGGAGGATTATCCCAGGAAACACTTGTTTGGGGGATAGAAGGAGAATGAAGTGAATTCAGGGTTTTAAAGAGCTAATCATCACTGCAGACAACTGGGATTCTACCCCACTGGGGAACTTGGGGAGACTCAGTATTTTCTCATGTGTGGGGCATGGAAGTGGGGGCATTTATCCATCCACTTCCATCCAGCACTGGGGACTCTTCTGGGTATTAACTCCCTGCCACTTCCTCCCTGTCCTGTGGTCAGACTGGTTCCATTTCTGCAACCAGCAAGACCCTCAGGCAGAGGGTACTTAGGTGCCTGCAAACAGAAATCACTGGCCTTGATTGGAACCATGACTACCAACAGAATAAGGCACCAAAAACATTAAGTAAAACCTTTCTTCAGTTTAAAAACCTTATATAATAGATTAATATAAAATAAATTATGCTAAATGAAAAAGGCTTCTTACTATATTATTGCATTTATGTGGATTTCTGGAAAAGTCAAAACTGTAAGGATAGAAGACATATTTGTGGTTGCCTAGGGCTGGGGATGTTTAGGGGATAACTACAGAGGATCAGGGGACTCTCTGGGGGCAATTAAAGTGTTCTACATCTTGATTGTGGTGTTGCTTCTGCCAAAATTCATAGAACTGCACACATGAAAAAGTTGGGATAATTTAACTATATGTAAATTATACCTAAAAAATCTGACAGTGATGATCTTAAAGGTATGTCTGCATTATTTGCTATTTTAAGAAACTGTAATTCTCCTCCCTGGAAGAGTTGGTGACTTGCTTCTAACAAACAGAATAGAGAGCAGGTCATAAAAGGCACTGGGGGCTTTATGCTTGCTTTCTCAATTCTTTCCTGGATCACCAACTTTGGGGGAAAAAGTTGCCACTCCATGAACAGCCCAGTGGAGAGGCCCCTGTAGGGAGGTACTGAAGCCTCCTGCCAACAACCACGTAAGGTGGCAGTCTTGGAAATGGCTACTTGCCCTGGTTAAGCCATCAGGTAACTGATCCCAGCCAGCAGTTTGTAACCTCATGAGAGACCCTGAGATAGAACCAGCCAGCTGAGCAACTCTGAGATTGCTGACCCTCAGAAACTATGAGCTACAAGTTGAATATTGCTTCTCCAAAATGCTTGGGACCAGAAACATTTCAGATTTTGGAGTTTTTCCGATTTAGAAATATTTGCATCAACTTCACCAGATTGTGCATCTCTAATACAAAAATCCAAAATCTTTAATTTTCCAAAATGAGAAATTCATATTTGAAGCATTTTTGAGTTTTGGATTAAAGAATACTAAACTGGTAATATTAGAGTTTGTTGTTTTAAGCTGCCATGTTTGGGTGCAATTTGTTATATGGCAATAGATTGTTAACATAAAATTTATTCCATTTAAAAATAAAAATTACAATTATATAAATTTTTTGCAGAGAGCTACAGGGCATGATATTCATCTAAAGTGAATGATGGCAGTTTCTAGGCAGTAGGTTTTGGGGTGATTTTTCTTGTGATTGCTCTTGTTTATTTTTGTATTTCTTTTGGATGCATGGGTAACAATGAAGTTAAAAACACAAATAATGACTAGGAGCCTGGGTTTAGATGTAGAAGGCATCATTTACCCAGGGGCAGAGTGGTAGGGTGTTTCTACAGGAAGCTGGCACACCATTCCTTCAGACAGTTAGAGCTCTCCTGGGCCTCACACTCGGTGGCACCAAAACAGCAAATGATCCACTTCTGAAACTCAGCCTCGTTTTTGTGCATCAGAAGGAACTGTCCCAACAGGATGTAGGCCTGGGGAAAGGGACAAGGCAGGGAGGAAAATGGGAATGGTTAGTATAGTCCCGGTCAGATGCGCCCTTTCTTCCCCAAACATTGGAACTCATGGAACAATCAAAGGTTGGGGTACAGGTCCAATTTGAGGAAGACTGTCAGTCCTGAAGCTCTGGCTTGTTCCAGGAGGATCCAGATATGGGTTCCTGGTGAGAAGTAAGGCCAAGTTCAACGCCGAGCTCTCTGGGTTGCTTTAGGAACTGTCCAGCCTAGATTGAACCAGACCCTGTCCTCCTCAAACTTAAGTGAGCACAGAAATCCTCTGGGATCCCATGAAAAGGCAAGTTATGATTCAGAGAGCCTAAGTCTAGGTGGGACCTGAGAGTCCCCATTTCTAACAAGCTCCCAGCTGAGGCTGGTCCAGGACATTGTTTTGAGGAGGGGGCCTCACGTACTTCAGAAACTCCTTTCAGACCTCTCATCCAGTATTTCTCTCTTTGAAACACACACACACACACATACACGCACACACTCGCGCGCGCGCGCACACACTTTTTTTTTCACCTTCACTATTTTCTCAACTGCTGTTAACACAGGGTTCTCACAATCTCAGCATTTCTGACACTAGAGAATTCTACGCTGTGGGTCTGTCCTGTGTACTGCAGGATGTGTAGTAGCATCCTGGATCTTTGCCACACCCCCCCCTTGGAGCTAAACTCTCCTCTGCTGAGAACCAGTGCATGTGCAACTGGCAGGTGAAGGTCATCTTAGCATCGACTTGTCTTTGCAAACCACCTGTGTGATCTCAGGCAACTCCCCCTGAAGTAAGGCTCAGCAGGACCTAGGTCTCAGTGTCTGTACCTCTCTAAGGCACATCATGTGACCTGCCCTGCAAATGAAGTGAATCAAATGCAAAAAAACGTTCAAAAAATGCAGATTTCTCCTTTGTCCTGAGAGATGTGGCCCTGTGGGAAGAGCATAGAAGATATGAAACATGCTCAGCTTTGTCCCTCTTTCCCAAGCCTCCTACTGGTTCTCTTTCTCTGGTTCTGAGGCTTCAGACTTTTTAGATTGAGCAGCTACCAGTTTTTCAGGCTCTCCAGCCTGCAGACAGTCATTGTGGGAATATTCAGCCCCTGACCATGTGAGCTAGTCCAACAAATCCCCCCTTTTAATCGTATATATCCTGTTGGTTCTGTTTCTCTGGAGAACCCTGACTAATACACTTTCTAAGAGTCTCTGTGGATAACAAAGACATTAAGCTAAATATTAAGTGCACTATGATTTATATTCCAATGGTAGTCTCTAGTTTTTAATACCTACATTCCAAAGATTTTACAATTTCATCACACCATTATTAACAACAACAACAAAAAAGGGCCACGTGGAGAAAAAGACCTCCCAAAGACCACATGGCCATAAACTGGCCAAACCGCTCCATGGTGGAGACTAGAGATTTCACGTCACATTACATGTCCATCTCTTGGGACTGGTTTGGGCGCTTTCCAGTCTGGAACCAACGAAAACCAGTGTTCACTCATGCCTTCAAGTTCTGGACTCTTTCCATGAAAACCCTCTGGTGTCTGTTGACTTTAAGTGATGTAAAACAAAGCAAACTTCATCTTAATCAAAGGAAACGTTTTTTACAAAAGAGAAATCAAATAAAAACTGAATCCCAGTCATAAAATGTACCTAAGCAATGAAGTTTGAAGGTATTATTTTTACTTATCATTTATTTTTCGTAGTGCTGGGGATTGAACATAGGCTAGTGCTCTACCACTGAGCTACACTCCAGCATGGAGTTTTATTTTTAGTCATGGTCCCATTGTTGAAAAGAGGAAAAAAGCCAAGATTTCATGGTGATTTGAAACTGTTACTTTAATCTTTTTTTTTTTTTGAGCAGTTGGTTGGTATGATCTCATTTTTCATCAGTATCCTCTCTCATTTGCACTGGTAGAGTTAACAGATATTTTAAAATAAGCATTTAAAAAACTGAGCATGTATTAAGTGTCAATTGAGCCAGCTGCTGTAGGTATGGGAGGTGCCAAGGTGAATATAACGGGATGGAGAGCCAGTGAGCTTTGTCCAAGGAGAGAAACATTCATCATAACAATATTAATAATACTAGGAAGTGGCACTTTTGAGAACTTTGGCAGGCTACACACTGCTGGAGACACCCAGTATGTTTTAATACATCTGAATCTCATGGGTGCCCTGCTCATCCCCTTCTCCAGATAAGAGTTCTCAAGAATCTAAGAGATTAAGACTCGTGCCTCCCTCCACTGCATTCTTCCACCTCTCAACCATCTGCAGTCCAGTCTGGAGGTTCAGCCATCCTCTGCCTGTTTCTGAGACCAGCTGCTAGCATCAGCTGACCTGGTAATTGCAGTTTCCATATGCTACCAGGCCCAGCAGCCAGGAAACCTAGGTCTATGTGGCCAGCAGGACCCAGGCAAGCTTTCCAAGAATGCTGCAGGAGGAAGGGCTTCCACAGTGGAGTTGCAACCTGATGCTCCATCCTCAGCTTTCCCTGTGCATCTTCCAGTGGATAGACAAGGAAAGATGACCTACCTTCTTGCTTCATTCCTGTGGACTTCATCTTGCTCCCAAGGGAAGCAGGAGTCATGGGCTCACAGCATGACTCTGCCCAGTGTCCACTTGGTTTCTCCACTGTCTCCAGAAAGTGAACCCCTAACCTGCCTTCTTGAGCCAAAGAAAAACCAGCTGCAAGGAGGGGGACATAGAAACACAGAAACCCTGAGCAGATGACTCTACATTCCCACTCCCCTGAGAGGCCACGGCAAGCCAGGGATGTATGTTTCTTCCTATAGCAGCAAGACGGCAGCTCCATGGGAGACTTGCCCTCAAGTCTAAGCAGGGATGCTTATCCAGGGACTTCTTCCAAGCAGGGTAGGAACCACCCCCCTTTACTCACTGTGTCCACTTCTGATAAACAGAAGCAATCTAAATCTGCACGGGGGTTGGATTTCCTTGGGTGTAACCTATGTGGTTGCCCAGGGTCCCACACTTTGAAAAGCCAATTGCTTAATCCATTGGAACAAAGGGCCTCCTCACATTTTCATTTTGCTCTGGGCATGAAAATCAGGGAGTTGGTCCTCATCTGCATTCATAATAATTTTTTGGACCTTCACTATGACACCTGGTCTTGTCTCTTATCTCAAGTTTCTTACACTTCCTCTGCTTAGGTCCCCGGCTCCTGAATGCCTATATGGAATGTACTTCACACCACTAAAAGACCTCAGGGAGAAACAACACCACTTTTTCCGATTTTCTCTAATCAGACATTGACTAGTCCAATATCTCTGGGTCATTTCAGGTCTAAAACACTGTGCCTTTAGTGTGAATGCACAATCTAATATAGGTCTTGCCGTTTATTCTCTTCCCTGTCTCCTTGGGTCATGCTATACTATAACATTATCCATCTATCCAAAATTCAAATTTAACTGTATTTTGTTATTTCATCTGGCAACCCTATGCAGGGTAACATCCAAACTTATGTACTGATTCCTGCCAGGGTCCAGATGTCAGGCAGCGAAGTCAAGTGTCAGCAGAGAGGACAGGCAGGAACTAGAGCCCTTAGCAGCTTAGTCATAGGCATCTTGGGACCTGAGGGAGACCAGGGCTGACCTCACTGGGGCTTCCTGGTCCTGAGTTCAGCCTTCTCTCCTCTCTGCTAATTACAACTAAGTGGCTTTGGAAGGAGACGGAGATCCTGGAATCTGGACAGTCTTGAGATAAAGGTATGGTAACATGAGGCAGGCAAGGTAAGAGAGAGAAGAGCCTTGCAGGTAATCCAGGTCAGGGCAGCTGCATGGGAAACGCCTCCGTCACACTTCAATTTCAGGAGGGCAGACAGTCCGATGGTGTAGTATCCAGACCCTACAACCTGTCTACCCAGATTCAGATTTCATCTCTGTCATCTCATGTGAGCTTGAGCAAGCCACACATGATCTCTCTGCTCCTCAGTTTCCCCATCAGCAATATGGAGATAAATAGTCTACCTCAAAGGATTTTTTTTGATAATTAAATAAGATTAAATATATGTGATGCAAAGGATTTTTTGATAATTAAATAAGATTAAATATATGTGATGCACTTAGAAGTGCCTGACATGTAGCAAACACCACATGCTATATCTATTAGCAGAGATATGCAGAGCAGGTGGGCAATCAAGACATTTACTCCATTCTGATCCTCTAAGTATCTCTCAGGAGAAGGATTTGGGCTCAAGAACATGACTTTACGAAGTCTGTAAAAATCTCTAAAACCAACCAGATTCTCTGGGATGTTAAAGTCACCTCCATGCTATTGGAGAACCCCAGAGCTATCTCCACAGTGGTATGCACACCCCACAAGGCCCTGCCCAACATCACTGAATTTACTGAATATGTGGAAATCCACCACCTCTGGGTGAGTTGTCCTAGGGAGGAGACAAGTACGAAGACACAGACTCATCCTCTGCTCAGAGGAGTTTAGAGAGAAAAACCACAGGCATGTTGTGTCTCTGACATCAGTGTGGGCTCTCAGGCCACATGTACCATAGTCAACAGTAGGACAACAGTGTACTGATGACCCACTGAAAAATTGTATTGCTCAGAAAAAGGAGCTGTTGGGTGGGGTGGGCAGAAGGAAGGTTTCCTAGAAGAAGGAGGCTCTAATTAGAAGCTTGAAGGGGACTAAGGTCCATTTCAAGAGACCACAGGTTGGAGGAGGGTGGCTCCCCTAGGTGTTTGTGGTTCACAGACAGCCTGGCACTAATGCAGGGGTGGTAGTGGGTGGGATAAGGGTGGGGAGCACAAGCGTACAAGAGAGTTCAAGGAAGGCTGTGGCAAGTCTTGACGCCATGGGCATAATGGATTTTTCCATTTCCATAATTCCTTTCTTCCATAATCCTACTTCTGGGCCAATAGAAATAGAAGATGAACCAGCCAATATGTAATGTATAATCTTCTAGAAGCCACAGAAGGAACAAGGGGGAAGGAAACAGCTGGAATGAATTCTAATGGTAAATCTTATTTTGTCCCATAATCCCAAAATATTATCATTTCAATATGTAATCAATAAAAAATTATTGATGAGATAATAAAGAGCTTCTGTTTCTTCATTTATAAAGCAGAGACAACTATCATCACCCTGTATACTTTTAAGATGGAGACTTTAAGACTTTAATAGAAAAGTGAGTATTTTAGATTTCTGGGACATCTTCATTCAGATAAATGCTCAGCAGGCAGATGTGGTTGGTGGCTACCATTTTGGATCTAGATCCTCAGGCCAAAGGTGACTGTTCCAGGAAAGTGAAGGCACAAGATAACCAAGAGAGATCACAGGTACATTTCTCTTGAGAAATGTAATTTTTTTTTTTTTTTTACATTTCTTTCCTGAAGAGACTTGGGTGAATCCAGTTTTGTTTTCTTGCATTTGTTTTATTTTGGTTTATTTTAGTGTTTGGTTTGTTTTGTTTTTGAGATGACACCTCACTATGTTGCCCAGGCTGGTTTTTAAATTTCTGGGCTCAAGCATCTTCCTGCCTCAGCCTCCCAAGTAGCCAGGACTGTAGGCTTGTGCCACTGTGCCCAGCTAATCAATAGTTTTGAAAAGTTATGTTTCAAACCATGAGTTGGAAAGCAGTTCATGCCCTAACTAGAGCTCTGGGGAAAGTGGGGAGGATGTAAGCACGGTCCCCTTTTCTCGTACCCCAGTCTTCTATTGAAGAAAAGATGAAAGACTTGTATGGGGGCAGGGACAGAGGAGAAGGTACTAGGTACTGCCTACCAGACTGCATCCCAGGTACTTAGAAGGGGTATGGAAAGAGCCAGTGCCCACGGGACAAGTCCAGGAAAGATGTTAACAGCAAAGGTGGGTTCAGAGGCAGTGCTACCTCATGGCAAAGACACTGAGGTCCCAGTCTAGGTAGGGAAAGGGAAGGGCTCAGCTACGCCTCAGCAGAGGCCAGCAAAGTCTGAGAGTGGCTTGAGACCCAGAAAGATGTCCCTCCTTCTGCCAAGTTTAGGTTCCTGACAGGCAGTGAATAAAAACATAGGAACCTGTATTTTCATCAGCTACATCTGAGAACCCTGCCCTGTCACCATCTGCCTGCCCACATGCTCTGATTTCTGGCCTTGCCCAGGGACCAGTGGCACTTGATCATCTGGGCCTCCTCCTGGGTCTTCCTGTGGGCTCATCTGGGCTCTGGGGCCTGATACAGGGGTCTCACTACCAAATCTTAGTCTAAGCCTCCTCCCTGCCTGCCATAACCCACCTGAAACTTCTTGTGTAGTTTATGACAGTGTAATTCATGGTCATTCTTATTTTCACCCAGAACCTCAGTCAGACACTATCTCCCAGAGTTTCTGTTTCCTCACTTATAAAGCAGAGACAGCTATCATCACCTAAATAACAGGTGAGGAGGCGCAAAGCAGAGGATAACAGTGAGATCCCTAGTGTCAGAGCCATGGTTCTCGAAATGCACAGGGCTGAGGGTGGGGCACTGGACACTGCCAGCCATGAGGTCACGAACACCGGAGGGGCACATGTCTATGGACCAGGATGCACATGGGCCAACCCTATACCCCTGACTCTATGCAGGCAAGTTCCAGGGCCCTGAAAATTTTCCACTTCGTCATTCATTCCTTTATCTTAAAGACGTCTGACATACCAACAATAATCCTTATTTAAAACAAAGTTGAACTGGAAAAGGCAAAACTATATACATAAGAAAACAAATAAGTTGTTGCCAGGAACTGAGGGTGGTGAGTATCAAGACACAAGGGAATGAATATTTTGGAATGGTGGGATTGTTCTGTGTCTTGATTGTGGCAATGGCTACAGGACTGTCAAAACTCACAGCAATGTATGATACAAAAGGTGAAATTTACTTATGTAAATCATACCTTAACAAAAAGTGTTTAAATGCTAAGCATAGAGCTTAGCAACAATAATAAAACTCCACAATTATGGAAACATTAAATCAATGGTGGTAGACATCAGAAGAGTGGTTACTCTGGGGATACGGATGGCACTGGCTGGGAAGAGGAGCAAAGGCACCATCTGGAATTTTGAACGTGTCAGATTGCTGGTTCCAGATGGTGTGTACCTGGGTGCATCCATATGTAAAAATTCATTGATCTGAACTCTTCATACTAAACGCATATCCCCATCCCCACAATTATGTTACACTACAATAGAAGAATAAAAGGAACAATCTTTTTTTTTTTTAAGGAATGCTTCATTTAAAATATCTATCCTAATCAGACTTGCCCACTTCACTACCTGCTTGGGAATGGCTCTCGATCCTTTATCAGGGCTCCACCTCAATTGTGGAGCTCCAGTTTCCTGATGATACCACCAAAATGGATATTAAGTTGGAGGGTAGATCGGGGTGAGATTCAGAATATATAACAACCGGTCCAGTGCCAAGTGTCAATCAGAAAACCGTGGGCCCAATGCTTCAGATTTGGGCACAAACCAACAGATCACCAGCTGTGCAGGCAGTAGTTCCCAGCCTCTTTTGAGTGTTTCTATAAGATCTTCTTGCCTGGTGGTATAGATTGGGTTTGAAAACTGAAGGGAATTCATAGCAGTAGGTCAAGTAGATGCCTCTTGACTGGAGTTGCAAGGTTGTGTGAATTCCCAGACTCCCTGGCAAATAATTGCTTCCTTTGGGACTTTTGCCATTCTCTCCTGAGGTTCCAAACAGCTTTTTCATAGCCCCATAAAAACAAGTTACTACATAGAATATTCAGGGCTACAGTTTTGATGTGCTTTGTTCCCCCAAAATTCCTGTGTTGGAGGCTTGACACCCAGTGGGGTGGTGTAGAGGTAATGGAATTTTAAGAGGTGGGGCCTAGTGGAAGATGATTTGGTCCAGGGGAAGGGATCAATGTAATTCTCATGGGACCCTGGTTAGTTCCCAAGAGAGCAAGAAATTGTTATTTTTTATTCTTAATATTTATTCCTATAAATAGAGCAAGAATAGGGACTGGGGATGTAGCTCAGTGGTAGAGTACATGCTTAGCATGCATGAGACATTGGTTCAATCCCTGGTATCAATTAATAAATAAATAGGCAAATAAAAATGGCCCCTCCCCACCATCTGGTTTCTTGTCTTGTCATGTGACTGCTCCTTCTTTCATGGCTCCTACCATGATGTCGTGTACCATGTTGTGATGTGGCCAGGAGGGCCCTCACCAAAAAGTCAAACATGTGGTCCAACCTTGGACTTTAAGTCTCCCAAACTATGAACTAAATAAAACTCTTTTCTTTATAAAGTACCCAATTCTCAAGCATTTTGTTATAGCAATGGAAAACAGACTTCTACATTCATATTCTGTTGGATATCTTGAGGTCATTCTTGGCTTAGAAATGATATCTTAGAATAACTCAAGTCCCCTGTCTCTGAGGCAGACCACAGTCTATTGGTTCTCCACCTGTCATTCCTGCGCTAATGCTCTGACAGGGCAAGGAAAGTTCCACAGGGCCCCTTTATGGAAGCAGGGAGTGCACCATATCATCTGTTCTGATACTGCCCCAGACTCTAATGGTAAGCCCATTTCTGTCAAGCCCTGAGTATTTGGACTCTTAGCAAATCTTACCCAGCCCTGCTTCTCTGAGCTAAAGCAATTCTCTTTGCCTATTGGCTACAAATCCTTGAGCTTTCTCAAGCATATGGGGTCAGTAGCACTGAAGAATGTGGCTCCTGGCCAAGTGGCAGCTTTGTTCGCTGATGGACCTTCAGAGGGATGCATGGCAGTGGCTGCCATCTGGCAGGACTTGGGAGAAGAGAAGAAAAGTTGAAGAAGAAAAAAATGAATTACCTTGGTGAACCCTTTGGTAATCAAATTGATGGCAAGCTCACGGCTGACCCCATCCACCCAGCCAACATCCTTTTCTCCAATGGGTTCAGAGAGGAAGGCTCTCAGCCTGGGAGACATGTGATCCATCTCCTGCAACAGCAGTGGGGGAAGAAAAAGAATTAGGAGATGGCTGACTGCTCACAGTGTGAGTGGACATTAGGGAGCTCCCTCAGCCTATTAAGGGATTGGGGGCAACAGATGGTAGACTTCCTTCCATCATCCAACATTTACTGGGGACTTTTCAATTTCAGGTATGGTGCCCTGCACTGAGGGCTTTACACTTCCATTCCCATTTGGATGGGCAAAGAGATGTGCAATGATGGCTGCAGACAAGTTGACTAAATTCCCAGTGAAAAGTGTATGCTTAATAGTAAGAACCATGTTATATCCCTGTCCAACTCTTTCCACCTTACATGCTTTAACAGCCACTTTTCCTTACTAATTAACCTACCTTCTTTCTAAACCACCCAACACTTTTGTCATACTTTTTTATTCTAGCATTTATCCTACTCTATTATAGTTATTTGTTTGGTTGCATGTAACAGAAAACTCTTCAAACTGACATTGTATAACTTGACGTCCAGGGGTGAAGGTGGATATGGTACAGTCAAGGTTGCAGATCTATTTCTCTATGATTATTTCTACTTTACCTCCTTGTTCTGCTCATGGTGATGAAATGACTACTCTAACATTCATATTCTCTAAAAATGTCACCTCAAAATCAGGAAAAGAGGGGCTAGGGTTGTGGCTCAGTGGTACAGTGCTTGCCTAGCAGGTGCAAGGCTCTGGGGTTCGATTCTCAGCACCACATAAAAATAAACAAATAAAATAAAGGTATTGTGCCAACTATAACATATATGTGACACACACACACACACACATATATCAGAAAGAGAGAGAGAACTCCTCTTTCAGAAGTCCCAGGAAAATGCCTCATCCATTCTCGAAGATCTGTCTGGGGTCCCTAGTGTGAGCTTAATGTCAGCCTAATGCCCCAGACCTAGATATGGGAATAGAGATGGCTTTCTCTAAGACATATAAGCTGTGAGTTCATGTGTAGTTACCTGAAAAAAATCAGGATTATTATCTAGAGAATGGGAGATGGGTGTTAAAACCTAACCATAATGTTCAACCAAAGTCTACCTCTGGCTATCCAATATCCATATAACACCCTTTCCCTTACATAATCATCAGCAATATCTATATATGGCTAAAGTGGACTCCCTCCCTCCCACAAAGGGAGCAACCCTGTGATTCATCTAGCAACTAGATTCAGATTCAAGGTTATCTTGTTGGGGAAGGTACATCTCACACTGTCTGGAGGTAACCTATGAACTAAATGCCAAAGTTCACCACCTTTAACATAGCCAACAATGCTGAGGGTGGGGGGAAACAGTTAAAGGACATCTGCAATAAGAATTTCTCTTTAGAGGGGGTGGAATTGTGGCTCAGTGGGCAGAGTGCTTGCCTAGCATGCATGAGGCACTGAGTTCAATCCCCGGCACCACATAAAAATATGCAAATAAAATAAAAGTATTGCGTCCATCTACAACTAAAAATATATTTTTTTAAAAAAAGAATTTCTCTTTAGAGAGGGGAAAATGGAAAACATTTAGTAGCCACTGGTCAACAGTACACACAATATCCTGCTTAAAGGAAATATTGAAGACTCCCCCTGACCTGATGGTAAAGCAAGTTCCTCCATTGGACAAAATGGCAGCCCATTTCTGATTTTGTGTGGATTTCCCTCATTCACTGTACTGCCCTGTTGGCATTGGAGTGGGCATGGGATAGATGCCTTTCCAAGAGAGTCACTGTTTGAGGGAGCACCCACTTCCTGTAGGTACAAGTTCAGGGATTGCCTGAGGGATGGGGCAATCTCAGGCCAGAGTTGGCCACTTTTCTTGGAAACTCAGACTTAAGAACTTAATGTATTTCTTCTATTCAAGTCTGTAGGCTGCTAATTAGAGCTGGAGATCTTCTTAGGTTGGAATCCTTGCAACTGGCCTCTACGCCTTGCCCAAATCTTCCTGCTCCTCAGATTAGTGGTGTCTTCCTTTATCTATGAAGTAAGGAGGCCCCCCCCAGATTTGCTCCTTATCCTTGAGCGATAATCCAACTGCATATTCACAAGTCAATCGTCCCCTTTGTCAAGTTTGATGGCCTTAAGATGAGATGCTTGAGAGAGGCCTGGGAATGGAGGGGAATGTTTTTCCAGAGCCCCCAGTTTTTTCTCCTATTAGGTTCCCCATTGTTATCTGTGCTCTAATTTTAGCCAGATAAATCAGCTTTTCCAACCTAGTAGGACTTGCTTATCAATTTCCTGTCACTTTAGACTAATGATCACACTGAAAGGCCATCTCATAGCAAAGCCATATTTTCTTCCTTCTCCGTTTTCAAATGGGCCACCTTTCTCCTAAATTTGAGTCATCTAGGACCCTAATGACAACTGCTAGTGGTAACCAATATCCTGAATATTTCCCGTAAGACCTTAACATGGTGTGGACTCCAGAGTATAAGATCTATTTCCCAGGATGGCCATTTTGCTGAGTGGCAGTTACCATCTTCCTAGTTTGAGTTAAGACATCCCTTCCTGGTCTCTGCCTGAACATCTCTTTGCAACCAATCCTACATTGGAGGCTTGTCCACTGTCACGTAACTAGTACCAGATTCTGTGTCAACTTATTATGCAAGTAACAGAAAATCCAGTTCAAAGGGGCTTATACAAGAGGAAGATTTTTATAGTAGCACACACTACCAAAATAAATAAATAAGTCCAGAGGAGGCCAGAGGGGGTTTCACCAAGGCTCCAACTTGATTACCTTGCATTTCTCTTCATTCAACCTTCCTTGTGAATCAGCTCAATCCTCAACTTTAATCCTTCATGGAACAGGATGAACCAGGACCTGCCATTGCTTTTGTAAGCCATGCTCCCCTCCCCTCCCCTCCCCCATCCCTCCCTCAAAGGAAAACACAGAGCTCTCTCCCTAAAAGCCACATATTGTCCTAGGTCATGCCAGCCCAATTGTCATCTGCCAACCCCTAAAACAAAAATTATCATCTGATATGCATGATCCACCTCTGGGTTCTGAAAGTTCATGGGCTGCAGCGGTGAAGAGAGTGGTACAAAAATTGAGATAGTTACCGTGCTACTGGGTAGGGCTTACCCCACACCAGCAGAGGGGATTATGTTAGAAGGGTAGCCCAACATCTACCACATATTTCCTAAGAGATCCTGAGGCCCTCCAAGGGCTGTAAGGGCCTCCTTATGGCCTTTCTCCCACCCAGCCCCAGCCCCGGCCCCAGTGTCTACTACTTGCGCTTAGCATAAGGGAAGCACTGGGCATAAATGATCAAATGCATCCAAAACCTCCCTCCTTTTCACCATACTTGTCCCTCTCCTGTCCCCACCCCCTCTAGTTCCTCCTCCAGACCTTTCTGCCAAGTCGACCTCCTCTGGTAAACCTTGTTGTTCCACGAGACGTTTTGGAACACTTTTGATGGAGCTAAGCTCTGCGAGAAAAGATGGATCCAAAGGCACTAGAGGTCGAGGGGTTCCTAAGAAGAGTAGTCTGAATGTGCTGGTGGTGGAGTCTAGGAAGGGAAACATAAGACAGGAGAGTTTGTTCAGGGTCTTCTGATACGGAGGTTGTCAAATAAACCGATGTGGAAACTATAACTATTATTTGGAAGACATCAATCTGGCTTTGTCTGAGAAAACAGATTTTCTAAATACAAAAACGTGTTGAACACCAATATTAACTGATAAACTCCTCAGTATCCATGGCATTATGGGATGATCAGTTGGGATTGGTAGCCCCACTCAGGGCCAGGCTGGTATAAACCCCAGGGTTTCTGAATGAGGAATTACCTGGAAGTCTTACCAACCGCACCAATTTTGCTGAGGGAAAATTCCACCCACTATCCATGTTGGCCATCTGTTAAGTTAAACATCTATGCCTTTTAAACTTTCAAAGTCTAAATAGAAACTACAACATTGTTATCAAGGCACCAACAGCATCAAAGACCAGTAATGATTTGTAACACCTGTGTGTGTTTGATTTTTCTCACACTGGACTCATTGGGTCCCTCAAACACCTCCCCTCTGGGGTAGATGGGCTGTAATTTATAACTTCTGAAGTTTGAGGGAGCCCAATAAAAGATCTTCACATTCTTTAAGTTGACTTTAGCTATAAGAGTGGTTTTCAACTGGAGGTGGTTTGCCCCCCAGGGAGAATTTGGCAATGTCTGCGGACATTCTTAGTTGTCCCAACTGCGAGAAGGAGAAGTGGCATTGGTATCTAGAGAGTAAAGTCCAGGGTCACTGCTAGACTTCTTACAACACACAGGACGGACCCTACTATCAACAATTATTTGGCCCTAAATGTCAATAGTGTTGAAGTTGAAAGACCTTAGGCCACAAGTAATAGAAAATTCAGACTCAGATTATATTAAACAGTGAGTACATCTCACATAACTAGAAATCTTTTGATGACACAGACCCAGGATTTTTTGAGTCGGTGGCTCTGTGTTATCAAGGGCGAGGCTAGCTGCTCCCCAGGTCCAAGATACTGACAGAATTTGCTCAGATCCCATCTGAACATGAAAATATCTAAAGGGAAAGGAAATACCATTTCTTCTTGGGTGCCCTTAACGGGAAGCAACCTCCCCCTGAAAAAAAACTCTCCAGAATCTTCCTTAGTTTCAGTGGCCAGAAGCAGGTAATATGACCAGGCATAACCCAGTTCACTAACCCAGGGGAGTGGGACCACCATGGAGGGCTGAATGGGCAACCCTTTAAGCTACTCAGGGAATGTGGGATTCTGAAAGGAAGGAAGTGGGAAAACGGATTCTGGGTAGGATAACAGTGTCTGCTACGTCTTCTCAACTCTGGTCTAATATTCAGTTCATTACAACTAGGGCTTCTCACAGCTTAGTGTGTGAAGGGAGCTCCTCAGGGGTTCTTGTTAAAACATGAAGGTCCTGACCCAGCGACCTGAGGCGGGACTCATATGATGCATTTCTATCTAGCTCTGTGGAAATGCTTGTAGGTCCAGTGATCCTACCTTGACTAGCAAGTCACTGCATGATACCACTTACTCCTTTTATATTACTTATTAATTATAGTAAAACATACACTTTACCATCTTAACTATTTTTAGGTACACAGTTTAGTAGTGTTAAATGCATTCACATCGTTGTGCAAATGGTCTCATGAACTCTTTCATCTTGCAAAATGGAAACTCCATACCATTAAGTACTATCTTCCCATCTCTTCCTTCCCCAGCCCTTAAATCCACCCTTCTACTTTCCATATCTATGAATTTGACTACCCTAGATATGTCATGTAAATGGAATCTTATATTTTTTTTCTTTGGAGATGGAATGTAGCTCAGTATTAGAATACCTGCCTAACATTTGCAAAACACCAGGTTTAATCCTCAGCAACACACACACACACACACAAAATCATTCCTTTGTCTGATTTCATTTTGCACAGCGTCCCTACGGTTCATGCATACTGTAGCATGTATCAGAATCTCTTCCCTTTTTAAGGCTGAATAATATTCCATTGTGTGTCTATACCATATTTTGCTTATTTTTCATCTGCTAACAGACACTTGGGTTGCTCCCAACTTTTGGCTATTGTGAATAATGCTGCCATGAACATGGGTGTATAAATATCTCTTCAAGACTCTGCTTTCAATTCGTTTGGATATTTAGCCAGAAGTGGGATTGCTGCATCATATGGTAATTCTATTTTTAATTTTCTGAGGAGTCACCATACTGTTTTGCATTTTGGCTTAAAATTGACAGCGCATTAGAGTCGCGTGGGGAAGATTCACAAATTTCTGATGCTTGGGTCCTTCCTCCAGACTTTGATTTGATTGGCATGTGGTAAGACCTAGACATTGGAATTTTTAAATATTCCCTTAGTTATTTCTAATATGGTGAACAGTTTGTGAATCAATGCTTCCCTGTCATTTGCCTCTTTCTTATGAAATTCGATGCTAGGTTTGCTGGGATGATCGAATTCTAGCTATGTGAGATTTTATGGCAGGATCTGCAGGTCTGTGTCACCATATGGCATATATTCCCCGACTCCTGGGCTGTGTCTACCTCCCCAGAATTGCAAGGCACATAAGATCCCCATTAGCTGTCAATAAGAAGACTTAATGATTACCACCCCCCCCCAATGGCTTTGAAGTCAGAAAACTTCTAAGCAGTCAGACCTCAATAACCTGCTTCCATTTTTTGGTAATTAAAAAAGACTTATTTATTTCAAAGGGAATTTTACTTGGAATCCATTTATATCAAACAGATCAAAGAGGAAAACTATTCTATTGACTAGGGAATCAGGTGAGGTCACCATCCCAATCGCCTCTTGTGCTTTCCCAAAGCCCATCTCGGATCTAGCCTAACCTCCTCATTGCACCTATCAGAAAATCAAGCCCCAAGAATTTAATTGCTTAATTTATCCTGCTCCAGGACTATGTCTGATCAAAGTTCCCAGGGTGGAGTATCCCTGTTCTAAAGCATGCAGTATTCCCTGGGTGACCTTCAGGGTTGGTTTGCATTGTCAGATTGAACACTCAGCCACTATGTGACAGAATCACTGCAGATACAATATAAGCCCACCAGGTAAAAGATTCCCATGTAATGGGGTATTCTCTCAGTTACTTTATTCTGAACCACAAAATGTTTAGGGAGGATACTTTGGCTAGAAATGACCTCCATTGATTCTGGCTTTAGATGCTTAGAGAATCACCTGATTAGATAAGGAATCGATTAGATAAGGAATCGAGGAGTCAATGGAATTTAATCACAATTCCCAAAGCAATGAGGTCTCCACCACAAATGTTTGACATCCTTTAAAGGTCATTTAAGGGGCAGGGATTGTAGTGCATTGCTAGAACACTTGCTTAACACGTGTAAAGCACTGGGTTTGATCCTCAGCACCACATAAAAATAAATAACTAAAATAAAGGTATTGTGTCCATCTACAACAACAAAAATATATTTTAAAAAGTCATCTAAAAAAGCTCCATGCTAAGTCTTTATGAGAAGGTGAGCACAAATACACCCATTTCAGATAAATGGAATGGGGGTGAGGATGCTGCTCAGATGTCATGCAAACAAGTATTTGGAGCTTAGGATACAATTTCCAGTGGGAGTTGGGGGTGGGGGGCTTTATACAGAAATTCATGACGTCTCTCCACAACCACCATTAGCTAGAAGTGAAGTTTTTATTCTCTAGAGATTGTATAAGATGCCACAAAAAGTGCCTCTTATTAGAATACTATTGTTTTGTTGAAATGTGAACAGAAAAAGTGCAATATTTCTAAATATTTTCTGCAATCTGTGATTTGAAAGGCATGTAATCAAGTTATGAAATCAAATAGTATATGTATGAACATTCTATCAATTCCTTAAAAGTCAGACTATTTTATCTATAGTCCTAAAAATTTATATATTCAAACAGCCAAAAAACATTTTGGGGGGATTTTCACTCTGAGAAAATGAGGGATTATTGTATGTTTATGTTTGCTTTATATTTGGGCACATATAGTATGAGAATTGAGAAGTTAATTCCTTCATGTTTTACCCTTGCCTTTATTGAAGATGATTGCAAGGAATATCACAGAGGGGGAAATCTACATATGTAGTGAGGTAGTTGAGAATGCTACTATACACATTTTGTTCTATAAAATAGTCTTCATGGTATACTTCTTGTGAAATGTAATGCCAAGGGGAAAAGTATACCTTTCAAAATTGGTATATTTCTACCTTTATGAAAAAAGTAATTTGTAAACACCCTATTTCCCTTTTTATTTATCAACACATGATGATCATATAGAAAAACTAGCATGGATTAACACCTCCCTCACCTTCTAGTTATATTTGCTTATTTTGCCCAGAGCCTACAATTTTCTCTATCTTAATTCTAATTTTAAAACTTGGGCTAGGGATGTGGCTCAAGTGGTAGCACGCTCGCCTGGCATGAGCGGGGTGCTGGGTTCGATCCTCAGCACCACATAAAAATAAAATAAAGAGGTTGTGTCCATCGAAAACTAAAAAATAAATCTTAAAAAAATTCTCTCTCTCTTAAAAAAAAATCTTAATAGCAGGAGGATAGCAAGTTTGAAGCCAGCCTCAGCAACTTAGCAAGACCTTGTCTCAAAAAAAAAAAAAAAATGTTGGGGTGGGGTACTGGGGATGTAGCCCATTATATCCCCAGTAGAAAAAAGGAAAAACCCAAACTAACTAAATAATATACTTAAAATAGTCACACCTTTTTTTTAAAGCCATATTATATATATAGTCAAAGCCTCAAAGATACAAAGAATATATCTCATAAACCAAGCAGTTTTATGGGGACATTCAGGATCCACCCCTATGCCCACCAAATATGGCAGTCTTGTAGCATCAAGAAAGGAAAAGGAGCCAGGAAGAGAACATCTCAGGGCTGTCCCTGCAGAGGTCTGTGGGCGCTTGGTCTCCAGCGTGATGCAGATGGGAAGTCCAACTGATGGAGTCGGGCCTGGATGGAGCAGGGACACAGGCACACTTCTCACTTGGTTAGGATCTG